TGGAAACAACCTAAGTGCCCATCAACAAATGAATGGCTAGAAAAGCTCTGGTATATTCACACACTGCAATACTATGCTGCACTGAAAAACAAGGAACTCATGCAGTATTATTAAAAATGGGTGACCCTGGAGGACATTATGCTGAGTGAAGTATCTCAATCACAAAAGGACAAATACTGTATGGTGCCACTGTTGTAAAACAGGACTGACATCAGGGTTGGGGGGAGACTGAGAAAGATGGGTTCAATAATGTATACTACTACTACTACTACTTCATTGAAACAGATGAGGGAGAAAACTGGTTAAAAGGGATATGTGATTAGGTATTTTTGTCATGACAGGAGTCCAGACTGAAGGCTGCATAGTGGAGTGGACCTGGGGGAGGATTTGTAAAACAATGAAAGAATTTTTCTTTTACTTTTCCAAGAGGGTAGTATACTAGGGGGGAGGGTTGGCAGGGGAGAAAAGTGCAACAATGAATGAAGGAAACCCAAAGTCTCTGTAAATTTTCATTGAAATTAATAATAAATTTAAAAACACACACACATGCACACAAAAGAATCAATGTCTTTGAATTGTGGTGTTGGAGAAGAGCACTGAATATTCCAAGTACTGTCAGAGAACAAATAGAAATGTCTTGTAACCAGAGGCAAGGATGGTGAACCTTCGTCTCACATACTCTGGGCTTGTTGTTATGGGAGGCTTTTCCTTGGAGAGGGACATGATGTTTGGCAAGGTGGAGGGTCAAAGACAGGAAGACCCTCAATGAGATGGTTTGATAGGACTGGGACAGCGGCCTCAAGTGTGTTTGGGATGATAAAGATGGCGCAGGATAGGACAAGGTCTAGATCTGTTGTTCATAGGGTCATTACATGTCATATTCAACGCCTAACAACAGCAACAACAACAACATGTTAATGAAGCAAGATGTATCTTGAGTCAATCTCTTTTGGAGCATGTTGTGGTGTTGTGTGCCATTGAGCTAGAACTGACTCACAGCTGACCCTCCAGTAGTTTTTCTTCTCCAGCCTCCCCTCCCTGGCAATTTTCCCTCAAAATGGGGAAAATGCACCTTTCCTGGAGATACTGCAATATCAGGTCGATGCATGGAGTGGATGGGGCAAACTCCTATTCCATCTCCTAGTTCCAAAAATCCTTTTAATATATTGTCCTTGGATAGAGCATGTATCAGATATTAAACTGATAAGAACAGATTCCAGCAGTTTTACAAAGGCTGTAATCTGCCTAGGAGGAGGTTGACCCTCCAGCTGGTAGATTTGAACCACCTGTCTTTGGGATGGCAGCACAACTACTATCCACTAGGCCACCAGGGCACCCTGATACAGAAGTCACAGACAAGATCAAATGGGTGAGCTGGGATTGAAGACACTTCAGTACCACCAGACGAGAATGGTGAGAGAGCACATTCTTTGGACCTAGGTCCCTGCTCTGGGGACCTCCTTGCTAGGGTAAAGCTAAGACCTTGGAGATCTCCAAGGAACACTAGGCCAGAGACACTGATTAATGACAAGGACCTTCCTCTAGAGCCAAAAGAGGTAGAAAATCTTCCCCTGGCGCCAGCACCCTGAATGCGGACTTCCAGTTCTTTCCATTGTGAAACCATATATGTATGAGTGGTAAAGCCATCCGCTTATGGTATTCTTGTTACAGAGGCACGAGAGAACCATCACAGGGTGGGATGCACTTTATTCCCTTTCCCTTTGGGTGACATACCTTTTCAGATACTTGGCAACGATCTTAAGTGCATGCACGGCCCAAATGTCACTGATTGGGTTGCTGCCCTGGTATGCTGGCCGGGCTAGAGGGTTGGAAGGGCAGGGGCTTCGCAGGTGGTAGGGGAGGGCGGTGTAGGATTCCAGGGCGTGGCTAACAAGAGATTCAAAACACACAGAATGAAAATGTTAGCTTCTGGTGTAACCACTGTGGAAGGTGGTATGGCGCTTTCTCAAAAAGTTGCAAATAGAGATACCATTTGACCCAGCAATTCCACTACTGGGAATACACCCCAAAGAAACCATAACTGCCACCCAAGCAGATATATGCACACCCATGTTTACTGTGGCTTTGTTCACAATAGCAAGGAGTTGGAAACAACCTAAGTGCCCATCAACAAACGAGTGGCTAGAGAAGCTGTGGTATATTTACACAATGCAATACTACACTGCATTGAAAAACAAGGAACTCGTGCAGTATTATTCAAAATGGGTGACCCTGGAGGAAATTATGCTGAGTGAAGTGTCTTAGTCACAAACGGACAAATACCGCATGGTGCCACTGTTGTAAAGCAGGACTGACATCGGGGTTGGGGGGAGACTGAGAAAGATGGGTTCAATAATGTATGCTGCATTGCCCATCATTCTCTCACAGAGTGACTGGTGGTCTCAAACCGGGTGCCTTTGGGATTGCAACATAGATTCTTAGCACTAGGCCACCAGGTGGATTTGAACCACCAGAGAGGAACCACTTTTAAGTTAGCAGCTCAATTTCTCACAAACTGGACTACACCACCAGAACTTGCTCACTATTAACTAGACTCCTGCTAACTCATGTTTCATTGATAGTGCAGTGGCTAAGAACTAGATTCAGGGATGAGTAACTCTGGCACCAGACCTCCCTATTTCTAGTCTACGAATGTTTATGGAAGGCTCTTAGCAACAAAATACTACCTATTAAATATAAATTTAAAAACAAAGCCCCATATATGACTAATTTTATAAAATAAAATGAATGAGAATGATAGTATGAAACACAATGTGAATAAAGAGTAGTGTGAACACAATGTATATGAACTTTGTAAGCAGACCAATATAAAACAAGAATTGGAATCAGGGCCTACCAGAGTACATCAAAGCCACTGTTAGCCACCACCCTGTCAGGCATGTGGAGGGTGTGCAGAGGGTCAACCAGTCCCAGCGTGGGCTTGATGGCTCGAGAAGCAATGCCTGAAACATGAGATTTTCAGTAGAGGCTTAAGGCATAAGCACTGTTTTTTAAATTAAATACCTTCTGTAATTATCCTAAGAAAAACTTTTAAAATACAAGATAAGATTAATTTTCATGGAGGGAGGAATAAGAGGTAGGAAGAAGCAGTAGAAAAATATGGAGCAGACATGCTGGAGCTGGCTACTGGGTCCAAATGCCAACCATATGCATCTCCTTCCATCTCTGAACTGAGTAATTTCACTGGCTGTGATGGAAGTATTTGTACTACAGGAATCAGCAAACAGTACAGACCAGGGCTTTAAAAAAATAAATTTTAGAGAGCTTGATCTTTGCTCTACAATTTATTTTATGCCTTTTGGCAAGTTTACTCAACCTTCTTGCGCTCCTAATTTATAAGATTAGAGTATAATAACAGAGTCTTCATGTTCACAGAGACATTATGAGGATCAAATGAGATAATAATATGTGAAAGTCTTAAAAATTATAAGGTCGAATTTGATTATTGGCCACTGTTCATTTTCTCTTTAATAATGTAAAAAAATAAATTAACTATTAAAAGAGAAATTACGATAAATGCACAGTTGATGTCAGTGTTCTTTGTTATTTGCAGAGGCCTAGACGAAAACTATCAAGCCAGAGTCCAGGAGAGGGACATTTCAGCCACATTAGCTAAGTATAAATGAGGGAAAGAAAAGAAAAAGGAAAAAAGGGAACTGCGATGGCAGAAAGTGGAATGTTGTTAGCTGGGCACTGGGCTGGAAGGGAACATGGGGGAATTTCTGGGGGCATAACATGGTTTCACAGCTTGATTTTCGTTGTGGTAACATGAGTAATTAGAATTAGCATGAGCAGGTACCTCTCAAAGGTCATCAAACTGAACTCATAAAATAGGTGTATTTTATTGAATAAGAAATATATCTTAGTAAAGTTTATTTCAAGCATAAAAAGTGCTTGTACACAATGACTACTGGAGGCAGAGAAAAAAAGGTCTATTAAGGCTGATGGAATTTCCCTATGATTTTCACAGATGATCCTCAAACAGTTCATTTGAACAATTCGTATTTTAACATGTATAGGCACACTTCATTTAACTGAAATTGTTTTATTGTACTTCACAGACAGTGCATATTTTACAAATTGAAGGTTTGTGGCAACTTTGCTTTGAGCAAATCTATTGGTGCTGTTTTTTTTTCTCCCAACGGCATATGCTAACTTTGTGTCATAGTCGAGAAATTCTCCCAGTATTTCAAACTTATCCAAAATAGTATTGTGCACCCAGGAGACCACTGCTTACTGCTTATCACTTTTACATGCAATGGGAAATCAAAATATCAGTGTAGTCTGCTTTATTGTGATAATTGCTTAAGTGCAATGGTCTGCAAACAAATGGCACTATCTCTGATGTATGCTTATACTGGGGGAAAGAAAGAAAATGTAGAAATGTGCTCACTCTTAATCTCATAACACCCTGGTTTTTAAGCAGAAGGATTAAATAATAGGGCATGGAAAGATAGAAGATTAAAACAAATAAAACAATGCACACCCATGTTTATTGTGGCTTTGTTCACAATAGCAAGGAGTTGGAAACAACCTAAGTGCCCATCAACAAAGGAATGGATAGAGAAGCTGCGGTATATTCACACAATGGAATACTACGCTGCATTGAAAACAAGGAACTCATGCAGTATTATTCAAAATGGGTGACTCTGGAGGACATTATGCTGAGTGAAGTATCTCAGTCACAAAAGGACAAATACTGCATGGTGCTACTGTTGTAAAACAGGACTGACCTTGGGGTTGGGGAGAGACTGAGAAAGATGAGTTCAATAATGTATACTGCACTGAAACAGATGAGGGAGAAAACTGTTTAAAAGGGATATGTGATTAGGTATTTTTTGTCATGACAGGAGTCTAGAGCGAAGGCTACATGGTGGAAGTGGACCTGGGGGAGGGTTTGTAAAACAATGAAAGAATTTTTCTTTTACTTTTCCAAGATGGTAGTGCACTAGGGGGGAGGGTTGGGAAGGGAGAAAAGTGCAACAATGAATGAATGGAAATCCAAAGTCTGTAAATTTCTACTGAAACGAAGAATAAATTTAAATTTAAAAAACCCAAGTAAAACAGAAACAACTTTGGCAAAATTCTTACCAGTTTTCACTTTCAAGTGTTCATAGTCAAAAATGGCAACTCCGGTAGTTTCACTCCCCGTTCCTGAGGTAGTTGGGACTTGAAAACAATAATGTTAATTATAAAAAAACCATCTAAATAAAGGTAGAGGAGTCCCTGGATGGTACAAAAGGTTAAACCTTTAGCTACTGGATAAAACAGTGTCAGCTGTACCCCACCCCTGGCACCTCGGAAGACAGGCCTGGCAACCGGCTCCCGGAAGGTCATAGCCTGTGTGGAGCCCGCAGTGCTGCTCTGCACACAAGGGGGCGCCATTATTCAGAATCGGCTTGATGGCAGTTAAGGGCAACAGCGCTGTCATTCAATGTTAAATGCAAACTCAAAGCCCTGTGTGCTGTCAAAAAGGAATCCACCCAAAGCCGGCCCTCTTGAGGGTCTTCACAGGCTGTAAATGGCACAGGAGGAAGCTGCCCATCCTTCTCCGGGGGGATTCAAACGGCATGCACAGCTACTTAACTCTGTGTTAGGACGGGGACAGGCACCCTGATGAGGGTGACTGGCTAACAGAGAGGCGCTGTGGCTGTGCTCCGCCGGCTCTAAAAGACATCTTTATTCCTTTTTGGCAGCGAGCACAGTAACGCTCGGCCTTGGCGGGGCTCGTGGTTTTGTAGCGCCATCAAGTTTCTGAACTTTACTAATCGCTCCTCTGTGTGGCACTGACACAATTTCACTGGAGGGTTCTATTTGCAGGACGTCAATTAGGCTGCTCCCCGCTGACTCCCAATTCACGTCAGCCTTCAGCTACCCAAAAAGGCCTTTCCCAGACAGCAAGAGCTGAGGCGCTTTCCCCAGTTACCCTAACTGTATGCCTTAGCTAAAAAACTCTAAAAGTAGGAATAAGCCTTGTGTCATAAAGATGAGAGACAATTCGAAGACCACCCCCAAGAACCTCCCCCCCCCAAATGGAATCGCACGCCATCCTGATTAGGATTTGCATGTCTGGGCCCCTGACAGCCTCTGAGCAGATGTCCCCCAGACCAGGGCGTCCACGCTGGCCACATGTCTCATGAACAACACAAAGCCTGGGGTCAGCTGAAGAACAATCATCTGGAAGAAAAGGTTGGGTCAACACCAGGAAAATAACAGCAAATGTCCCCTTTGAACTCTGTAGGGGCTGGCAAAATGGGACAGAAGAGAGAGGCATTTGGAGGAATATAATAGGGAGATGGTGACACTCCATCCCCCACCCTACATGTGAATTCATTGCTCCCATCTGCAAACTTTCCTACCATTGAACTAAATTGTCTCTATCTGTGCAGTAATGAAGAGCGAGATTTTAAAAACCAACAGTTAGATCTTGTTTTGGCTTCCAAATAAGGCATTGCACTGGCGGGGGGGAATCTGAAAGCTTTAGAAACATAAATCCTAAAATTATTAGTTTACTTCTCTAATAAGGTCTTTGGCAACTGTGAAAATCAAACAAACAAGTCTTTACCTGCAATCAGAGGCTTAAGAGGCACAGCCACGGGTTTCCCCTTCCCAATGGGGGCGTTGACATAGTCTAAAAACTGGGAGTCTGGGCTGGAGGAGTACAGATTAGCAGCTTTGCAGGTGTCAATGGTGGAGCCGCCACCCACGGCCACAAAGGCATCGAAAGCTCCTTTCTTGGCAAATTCAATAGCTTCCATGAAACTTGAAGAAGGTTCAAAACAAAACAACGGAATGGTATATTTTCCAGTAATAAATTACCATGTCAATAAAGCCTGGGACATGTTTTTAAACAATAGGGACCCTGCTCCTTTATATTTTCAAGAAACACAACAAAAAATAGAAACACAGCACAAGAATACCTTGTATCTGTTGGCTCCACCCTCACATTATCATAGACTTTGAAGTTTATGCCATTCTTGACAAGGGAATTCATAACTACTTGTACAGGAGGGAGCTGGGAGAGATTCTTGTCTGTCATTAAGCAAACATTCTTAGCGCCCATGTTTTGTAGGTCCTATGATAAAAACACAACTCATCAGTTAGGTTTCATTGTATTAGAATGGTAATAGACAAACACAACACTATCCATTTCTAAAAAGTCAACAATTCAACTGTTGATTAGCATATTTTTAAGAGAAATTAGCAATATTTATAGCAATAGACTGTAGAACTCTCAAATACTTGCCATGCCCACTTCCTTTGTAACTCCTGCTCCATATCTAATATTTGAAACAGCCATCTGAAAAATAAGATTTGGGTTTTGAGTGCAGCAGAGAGTAGGCCCCTCAGTTTCTGAAATCCTCAGAGGATTCCCCATTGTCTAGAGAATACTCCTTAATATCACCTTCCACATCATCCTTGACTTGGCCTCACATCACCACCTTAAAAAAAAAGAACAAAAACCCCCAAAAGAAACTAAGCTGGGCTCCCGGCATATTGGAATTATATGTATTTCTCTTTCTCCTGATACAACATATACCCTTAAGTGTTCCTTCAGCTTTAAATACCTGCCTCCTCTCACCTCCACACTTAAATTCCCTAGCAAATTTCTACCCATTTTTACTTTTCAACTTAAATGGTCTCTTGACCTCTTTAACGTACTTTTGTCCCTTTTTTCACCAATATAATTATCCATTCACCCTATACGCTTGCATCCATCCATCCATCCATCCACTTTGCATTTACTCCCCATCAATTTTGTATCCATTTATTTATCCATCTATTCACCTTTGTATCTGTTTATCCTTTAATTCATCCATTTATCTCTCATTCACCCATTCTTGTACCTATCCATCCACCTTTCTATGCAACAATTGACCCAATGTATCCAGCAACCCACCTTGCATCCACCCAGTGTAATTGTGTGTCAGTTATGTTTCAGAGATTGTGCTACCTGCTTGGCTCTGGTAATATAACTCTAAACCAGATACCTAATAAGGTTTACAGCTGAGAGAAGAGCTTTAAAAATGATGGATGGGCCACTTTTGATTAACTCCATACTTTATTTGATCCATATTATGCTTAAATGTCTTTTTTAAAAATTGGCTGGTTTTTTTTACATTCTTTATTAAGCTAAATTATTATTTGGTTTAAAAACACTTAAGGGGATATTCTTGGTTTCAGATTTAAAGATTATCTCAGAATAGGTGGCCAGGAAATCCAGCTTCATGAAGGCTCTCTGCGTGCCAAGGCCTACAGGCACCCTCCATGTGCCCTCCCTCCTGCCAAGATGCCCAAGAAGAAAGTCAGTTTGGCCAAAGGCGTGATGAAGGAGGAGCCCAGGAGGGCTCCGCTAGGATGGCTTACCTAGGGCTGTCAGCTAAGCCTCCTGCAAAAGTGGAAATGAAGCCCAAAAAAGGCAGTAGGAAAGGAGGAGGTCTGACAAAAAAAGTGCAAACAGAAGAGAAAAGGGAACAAAAGGAAAACAGACTGAAGTGGCTAACCAAGAAACTAAAGAAGATTTACCTGCAGGAAAGGGAGAAACTAAAAATGAAGAGTCCAGCCTCTGATGAAGCAGGAGAGAAAGAAGCCAAGTCTCATTAGTTTTTGTCTACCGTGTCTTATCGGAAGTTCCTGTGTCTCCCTTCCTTTTTTTAAATACAATATTTTAAACTGGATTAATTACAAAGTTTGTATACATTGTTTTATACACTGGATCTTTCCCACTCTACCGAGCCCTCCCTTCAGCCATCAAACTGTGTAACCCTATAAATAACGCCACTCCCACCTCCCCCCCAACCCATTCTCACCTCTCTGCTCCCACCCCCTTGGATCCTCATACATGTTCTACAATAATGGTTTTATACAATATTTGTCCTTAGGGGACTGAGTTAGTTCATTTAGCAAAATGCTCTCCAGTCCCTCCCAAGTTAGATAGTGATTCACAAACTCATTGCTCCTGCATGCTGTATAGTATTCCGTCATGTGAATGTACCATTAATTTCTCAATCCATTAGATTGTGGTTGGACCATGTTCTTGTGAAGGTGAATAATGCTGCTAGGAACATTGGTGTACAAGTCTCCGTTTGTGACTCAGTTCTCATTTTCACAGAGTATGTTCCAAGCACTTGAATAGCTAAATCATATGGAATTTCTATGTTCAGCTTTCTGAGGAAACACCAAACTGTCTTCTAGAAAACACCATTTTACAATCCCACCAACAGTGTATAAGAGTTCCTATTTCAAGGGAGCTCTGGTGGCCTAGTGGCAAGAAGCTGCACTGCAATCACAGAGTTATGCAGTTTGAATCCACCAGATACTCTGCTGGAGAAGGTGGGGCAATACCCTCCTGTACTAGTCAGATCTGATTTGATGGTACACACACAAAAAAATAATAAAATTTAAAAAGAGAGTTCCTATCTTACCACATCTCCTCCAACATTTATTACTTGCTGTCCTGTTCAACTTTGCCACTGCTACTGGAGTGAGATGTTATTTCATTGTGGTTTTGATTTGCATCTCATTTAAATTGACTAATATTTTTTTAAAAAAATCCAATGTGATCATCTGAATTTCTATTTTTCTGGAATAATATGGCAGCACTGGGCTTGCATTTTAATGGTGTGGTGTCAGCAGTAGATATACAAGGTCATGTGGAACTGAGAGGAGGCTACACATGTTAGCTGGGGACAGGGCCCTTAGTGAATTCTGCATGGTCCTCATTCCGGCTGTTCAAACTATTAGTAACTGTCAGCTGGCCAGTGATACTTCAATTTAGGATTCTTACACAACAAGCAAGCAACGACTCAAGCAAATAATTACATTACTTCTTTCAGTGTGATAAAAATCCCACACAATTAATTGTCCCTTTACTACTGCTTCAGTAGCGTACTCTCACCTCTTGTGGTACCATTTTAATTACAAAATGAAGGAAGATTTAATGTTTAACATGAGGTGAGAATTAATCATATTTTAATAATACAGAAGATAGTATTCTAGACATTATTAATTTTGATTAAAAAAGGCTGATGGGTTAAATGATTGAATTATTGTTGTTGTGTATTGTAGAATTAGAGCCGACTCATAGATGACCCTCCAGTGGGTTTTCAGAAGCAGTTAATTGCACAGGAGGAAATTGCCCGTCCTTCTCCTATGGAGCAACTGGTGGCCTCGAACCGTGTGCCTTCGTGATTGCAGTGCAGATTATTGACACTAGGTCACCAGATTATATTATCTCGATTAATAAAATTAAAAATGAAATAACAAAGCATTAACAAAATTCTCTAGTTATTCTCAGGTCATTTTAAAAAAAAAAAAAGGTGATTAAATCTACCTCAAAGGCATAATCTGTTGTTTTCCCAGAGGATGAAAATCCAGGAGCTAGAGAGAGAAAAAACTTTTATCAGAGTAGGCCTTAAAAATAAGACAAAAACTTGCTATTTGATAGTAGATTTTATTTCAGCAGTGAGCATAAGAATGTCCCTTATAGTCTCCCTCAAAATAGAATTATTTTTTGCTTCATTGTTACACATTAAATTAAAATGGAAATCTAAATATTACAGATAAAAATATAATGCAAACTTGGTGATAATTTTGTAAAAATAAAGCTATTTAACATACATTATTTACTGTAAAATTAACATATAGTTCTGAAGGCATAATGTGTAAAAAGTATCCTCAAGGGTCTACACAATTTATTCAAGGTTTGTTGTCATTACTTAAATCTCAGTACTGAAACTGCTCTCTCACTGTGGTGGGGTAGAAGTGACAGAGAGCTGACCCTCCATCAGGTTTACAAAGCGGTAAATCTTATAGAAGGAGCTTGTCCGTCTTTCTACAGAGGAGCTGCGATGGAGTACAGCCACCTTAGTTAGCTGCCTGGCTCCCCATGGACACCACCACAAAGGTGCCCTCCAGTAATGAAACATAAAAATCAAACCCATGTCATCACTAAAAATTCAAACAGGATTGCTATAGAGTACAGTCATTAATAAATTTATTAATTACAGTTCTGCTTATACTTATTATCAAAATCAACCTTACTGCCACTGAATCAATTCTGATTCACAGTGATCACAGTGACTGATTTCTGAGGCTGTAAATCTTGATGGGAGGAAAATCCCTCATATTCTCCGCTAAGCAGCTGGATTTGAACCACTGATTTTTTTGGTTAGCACTACAACACATAGCAGATATAGTATGAGGGTTCAATAGTAACTGTGATAAATATAAAATTTTTTTTAACAGAGGTAAATTATCACAATGAAATATGTATGCCAACAAAGAAATTAGTTTTCTTTGTGTCATTTAATAAAGAAATATAGAAATTGATATTTCTTTGCTAATTACCCAGTTTTTAAATTTTTTTTATTTTAATTAAAGTTTACAGAGACTTAGGGTTTCCAGTCATTGTTGCACTTTTCTCCCTACCCACCTCTTCCCCCCAATTCACTCTTCTCTTTGAAAAGTAAAAGAAAAACTCTTTCATTGCTATGCAATCCCTCCCACCAAAGGCCACTCTACTGTACAGCCTTCATTCTGGACTCCTGTTATAACAATAACACCCAATCATATATCCCTTTTAAACAGATCTCTCCCTCATCTCTTTCAACGCAGTATACATCATTCCTTTCTTCCTTCTCTGTCTTCCCTCAACCCCGATGTCAGTCCCATTTTACAACAGTGGCCCTATGTGATATTTGTCCTTTTGAGATTGAGATATTTCAGTTAGCATAATGTCCTCCAGGGTCATCCATTTTACATACTATTTCATGAGTTCCTTGTTTTTTAATGCTGCAGAGTATTCCATTGTGTGAACATACCAGAGCTTCTCTAGACATTCGTTTTTTGATGGGCACTTGGGTTGTTTCCAGCTCTTTGCTATTGTGAATAAAGCTGCAATAAACATGGGTGTGCATATATCTGCTTGGGTGGTGGTTATGGTTTCTTTAGGGTAAATTCCCAGTAGTGGAATTGCTGGGTCAAATGGTATTTCTATTTGCAACTTTTTGAGAAAGTGCCATACCACCTTCCACAGTGGTTGCACCATTTTACACTCCCACCAACAGTGAGTAAGGGTTCCAGTTTCTCCGTAACTTTGCCAGCATTTGATGTTTGCTGTTGTTAAATTTTGCTATTCTTACTGGGGTGAGATGCTATCTCATAGTTGTTTTGAAGTATCAAGTTTTTAATTATGGTGAAAATGATTCTTGTTAATTAGAAAAACCTAATTAATTAATTTGTGATCTAATAAAATAAGAGACTCAATTACTTAATTTGTTCCTTGCTTTGATCTGCTTATTTCACATCAGCCATGGTCACACAATAAGCACTCACTGACAATTTTCTTGAACAAGTTTGAAATACTAAGAGACCACAACTAGAAAACAATCTAACTTTGGCTTCCTGAGACAAAGGCAACTTTAATGAACAACAGCTTCAAAGAGAGAAATTATTTATTCCTGGTGTTAAAGTTTAGGAGAGAAATTAACTGGATCCTAAATTAACATATTTATTACACCAAATGTGAAACCCTTGATCTTTTATATTCATGATATTGTTCAGTAATTCATCTTTCTTACTTTGGGCATATTTTCAGGAAGAACCTGTCCTTTGAGAAAGACTCATACTGAGAAAGGTAGAAGGCCAGCAAAAGAGAGGAAGACCCTCAACGAGCTGGATTGACACAGTGCTCTTGAGCATAACCGAGGTCATAGGGATCACCTAGGATGTGGCAAGGTTAAGATGTGTTACTCAGAGGGTTGCTGTGGGTCATAGTTGACTTGATAGCATCAAACAACAAAAGACTTCTCTTCATGGATGATACCCTTGATGTCATCCACAACTCATCTACAATCATTGGTGTTTAATGCTTCAAATCTCTTCTTTCAATGATGTTTAAATTCAGGTGGGATAGGCTCAAGACTATACTTTGGTTCTCGTGGACTTGTTTTCATTTCCTTCAGCCTCAATTTGAACTTGCACACGAGTAATTGATGATGTGTTCCACAGAGAGCATCTGGCCTGGTTTTGACTATTGGCATTGAGCTTCTCCAATGATTCCTTCCAAAGATGTGGTCAGTCTGGCTCCTGTGCAGTCTATCAGGTGAGATCCACATGGAAAGTCACTGATTGTGGGTTTTTAAAAGAACGTATTTGTGATGGATAAGTCACTGAATGTATTAAATTCAGTCATCCTATTTCCATCTTCATTTCTATCACCAAGCCCATACTTTCCAACTACCATTCCTTCTTCATGGTTTCCAACTTTTGACTTGATGGTACCTAACAATAACAATAATAATAATAACAATAACAATAACAATAACAAACATGACATAGGGAACTCTGGTGACTTAGTGGGTATGGAGTTGTGCTGCCAAACCCAAAGGCATCCACCAGCTTCTCCAGGGGAGAAGGATGGGCAATATCCTCCAATGTCATGTTGCTTTACAGGCTCTGAAAACCCACTGGAGGGTCAGCTATGAGTTAATTCTAATTAAATAGCAATGAGTTGAGTTTGAATTTTTATTATGAAATGATTCTTTGTTAAAACCTACCAAGTACTGGAAAAAAACCCAGTTGATAACAAAGATTCTGCTTATGTCCAGGAGGGCCTTAGAGGCAGATAATGTTTCTATTGTTGTTAGGGGTTGATGAGTCAAGTATGATTCATAGTGACTCTATAACAACAGACCTGAACCCTGTCCTATCCTGTGGCACCCTCATCATCTCTGATGCACTTGAGCCCACTGCTGCAGTCATTGTGTCAATCCACCTGGTTGAGGGCCTTCCTCTGTTTCCCCAGCCCTCCACCACTCCAAGCATGATGTCCCTCTCCAAAGAATAGCCTCTCCTAGCAACATGCCCAAAGCAGGTGAGAGGTAGCATTGTCATCTTTGCCTGCAAGGAGCACTCTAGCTGCACCTTCTCCAAGACATATCCATTTGTTCTTTTGCAAGTCCATGGGATAGTCAATACTATTCTCCAACACCACAGCACAAAGGCATTAATCTTTCTTTTGTCATTCATATTTATTATCCAGCTCTCAGATGCATAGCAATTGATTAGAAAATCATTGGCCTAAATCTAGTGCACCTTAGTCTTCAAACTGATAGCATTGCTTATCAGTTATTTGGAGAAGTCCTTGACTGCAGACTTCCCCAGTGCAATATGTCTTCTTGTCTCCTGACCAGGGTAAGATGAAGTCATTGACATTTTCAACTCCACTACCAGTTCCTTGCAGTGATGAAGGATGATCAGGAAGTCCCAGCCTTGTCTTGAAGGTGAGCTGCTCCACTAGTGACACACACTCAGGAAGCTTCTTTCTCTTCTACCCTCAGGAGCCTCCCTTCCGGGATTCAGCGTTGGCTCCTGTCAGAAAAGGCACTTTTCCCAGTCCTCACCTCTTTGTTTATGTTTGGCTTTTGCTTTTGTGTCAGTCATTCATCTACTGTTCTGTGGACAACAATGGGCTTCCTGCTGCTCTGTTGACACTGGTATTTGAACATGATCAAAGAAATTGATGGGAACGGAATTTTTTGGTCATTACTTTTAATTACTAAGAAATGAATGTTATTTTAAAAATTGATATCAGGGAGCTCTGGTGGCCTAGTGTCAAGAAGTTGCACTGCAACCCCAGAGATATGTGGTTCGGATCCACCAGATGCTCTGCTGGAAAAGGAGGGACAATCTCCTCCTATACCAGTCAGATCTTATTTGATGGTACAAACACACAAAATAATAAAATTTAAGAAAAAATTGATACTAACAAGTTCTGTTTCCCTAGGAACCACCACGTTCTTCAGCCTCTTCCTTTTTTGAGATGTATTAGACCCTTCCAAAGTCTTCATCTTGACTAATTCTTTTTGAGACATTCTGATAATTTTAAAATCTTATCTGAGCCATCATTTCAACTTTGACAAATAATTCTATTTATGATTTTTTTTTAAAAAAGACTAAAATGACACACTTTAATCAAACTCTTAGCCAGTAACACACATAGAGTGGGCACAGTGTAGTTAAAATGAGGTATTACCAATTTCACAGGGAAAGATAAACACTTACATCAATCTTTCCCTTATATGCTTTGATTTTCTTGCTTTATACATTGCTTAGATGCATTATAAATGCAGTTACAGAACACAAATTTGTGGCTAGTTTAAAACCACAAAATTCATTACCTTGAGAGTAAGTATGAGAATGAGTTGGGCACTGGCATCTAAAGGGAAAAGAGAAAACAAAAATGTAAAGTGAGACTGAGAAAGCTAAAAGTTATAAAGTCTTTAAGTAACTCTGTTGCAATTTAGCCCTGGTGTACAAGTTGCAGTACAGTGGTCACTTGTGGTTGCTGTGAGGCTGAATACTGTCACACTGATGTGTGTCAAATGCGCTAATGGCTGGTTACCCAATGCGGACAGAGAGTGGGGTGGAGCTCCCCAATTAAAACAAGCTTGGAAGGAGGAGTGGCATCCACTTCTGTAATAGCTTGCCTCTGGAAACCCTATGGACCTGGAGAGAGGATGAGAGATACCCAAGCATTGAGGACTCTCCTTCATAGGGTCGCTATGAGTCGCCACTGGCTCAGGACAGGGCAGGGTTCAGAGATGTCGTACATAGGGTCACTATGAGTTGCAGGTGACTCAACAGTACATAACAACAACAACAACATGATAGGAATAATTATACCCAATTATATATAAATATATTATTAGATATTGTAGATATATAAATATACTTTGTATAAATTTATAGCAATATATAAAAGATAGAAATATATCCTAATTAATCTAATCTAATCTATAAAAATATATAATTATTGGGTTTTTTGTACTATTGAGTTGGGACAATGCATAGCTGACCCTCCCGCAAGTTTGCAAAGACAGTAAATCCTGTGAGAGGAGACTACCCTTTTTGCTCCCGGGCAATGCTAGTGGATTAGAGTCATTTGCCTTTGGGTTGACAGAACAACTCTTTACCACTAAACCATTAGAGCTCCCAAATAATAATTATACATGGTTGTTGTTATTGTTGTTATGTACTGTTGAGTCACCTGCAACTCATAGTGACCCTATGTATGACATCTCTGAACCCTGCCCTGTCCTGAGCCAGTCTCACTGACTGACTCTCCTACCTCCATTACCCCAGTTACTGTGTCAATTCATCTTTTCCAGTGTCGTCTTCTCCTGCGCTGTCCCTCCACCCTTCTGAGCATGATGTCCTTCTCTAAGGACTGGTCTCGCCTGGCCATGTGCCCAAAGTATGTGAAACGGAGCTTCAAAATCCTAGCCTCCAAGGAGAGACTTGGTTTCACTCTCTCCAAGACAGAACTATTTGTTTTCTTGGTGGTCCATATATGTTCAAGACTCTTCCTCAGCAACACAACTCATAGGCATTGATTCTTCTTTAGTCATACTTAGTCATTGTCCAGCTCTCTGATGCGTAGCAAGTAATTGTGAAGAACATGCCTGGATCAAGCATACCTTAGTCTCTAGACTGACATCATTGCTTCTCAGTATATGATATTTATATATAATACTGTACAGTATATTGCTGTTGTTATTGTTGTTAAGTGCTGTCGAATCGTAGGCAACTCATAGTGACCCTATGAATGAAAGTTCTCGACACTTGTGTGTGTGACTTTCATCCTCTCTCCAGGTTCATAGCATTTCCCGAGGCAAGCTATTTACAGAAGTGGAAGCCACTCCTGCTTCCAATCTTGTTTTAATTGGGAGCTCCACCAAACACTGTCCACCATGGGTAACCATTATCACACTTGACACATCAGTGTCACAGTGTTCAGCTTCACAGCAACCACAAGTTACCTCTGTTTGGCAAGTGGACACATCAGGGATATACGGAAAAACTATGAACCTGGAGAAAGGATGAAAGTCACTCAAATGTCGAGGACTTTTGTTCATAAGGTCTCTATGAGTCGCCTACAACTTGACGACACTTAACACACAGAGAGACCAGTTGGCCTGTGGACCTAAAGTGATGCTACCAAACCAAAGGTGGGTTACTCTTATTCACGGCCCTCAGGCCTGTTCTTAATTGGTGTTTTTTTTGTCAAACATTCTTCTAGGTCATATAGCCCTGGTGTACACAGTATATACAATAGAAAAAAAATAGTAATCAGAACCAGACAAAAAGTTGATCTCAGTCTTTCCAGATGCCTGGTGGCACACCCAATTTACTCTGGATTACTGGAACCCTGGCAAAAAGTTGGCATTTGAACTCACCCCGCTGCACTGCAAAACAAGGACCTGCAGATATGCCTGAGCCTAGATGACAGCCACAAAGGCCCTGTAGCTCCCAATCTGGCCTGTAGTGCGGGGAGGGGGAGAGAACAGAAGGGGGCGCTGCCAGGAGTCAGAATCTACTCCATGGTAATGAGGGCAGTCTTTCCAGCATTGTGGGATCATGAATTTGCTCAAATGTCTGAGAGGAAATAAATGCTCTGGGAATAGAGCAAGTTTAAGATTAGGGTCACTGGTCTCAACAAGTCCTGCTTCTTAATTGGTTAGGTGTACAAGCCCAAATACACCCAAGTCCCTCCCCTCCCCAGCTCTGATCCTGTCCTCCAGTGCTGAGCACTTGCTTTTCCCACTGTCTTTAAGGTGCTTTTCTTCAATGATGCCATGGTTCCATCCTCCAGGGGAGCCTCACATGGCCTTCAGCCCTCTCTGAACCCCTTCCATCTCTATCCTGCCTGCACAACCTCCTGCCTCCCAGGTAGTTGATGCCATTTTTACTGCTCACCGTCCTGCTTGGATTTCACTAACACCCATAAAGTTCTCTCTACAGTCTATTCCTTCAACTCCTTCCCTGTTTACTTCTCTGGAGGAACATTCACATCTGCTTCCCATATCCCATACCCTGGTCTCTCCTGTTTCACAAACAGTCCCTTGTCTGGCTCTCTTTCCCTTCTCACTCCTGGTCTGAGGGTAGGATGAGGGCATTGTGTTCCTACTTATTCCTTTTGGGACTTTGTTAGAATTTTCAGTAGATACTGTGTACATAAAACACTCCCTCATCAGACTTGGAATTGAGACACTGGAAAGAGGATGGAAAGAGGTGAGCTCACTGGAGTCATTCCATGCAGTTGCCCATGGTGCTGTCCCCATAGACTTCCTCTTATTTCAGACCCTGCAGGGATGCTTTTTATCAGCCTTAGTCAGAGATTAAGATGTGATAAATGCAGTTGTAAATTAAAAGAATATTTCTTAGATTATGTGAATGCTGTTGTTGTTATGTGCCGTTGAGTTGCTTGTGACTCATAGCTACACTAAGTACAACAGCCATGAACCCTGCTCTATCCTGAGCCAACCTTATTGTCTCTGACACACCTACCTCATTACCAGTCACTGAATCAATCCATCTCATTGAGGGTCTTCCTCTCTTGTGCTGTCTCTCCACCCTCCCAAGCATGATGTCCCTCTCCAAGGATTGGTCCCTTCTTGCAGCATGTCCAAAGTATGTCAGATGGAGCCTCAGAATCCTTGCCTCCAAGGATCATCCTGGTCTCACCCTCTCTAGGATGAACCTGTTTGTTCTCTTAGCAGTCCATGGTATATTCAATACCCTTCTCTAGCTCTGCAGTTCAAAGGCATCAATTCTCCTTCTATCATCCCAAGTCATTGTCCAGATTGCTTTTTTAAAAAAAATTTATTATTTCATAGATCTGACTGATACAGGAGAAGATTGCCCCCCTCCTTTTCCATCAGAGCATCTGGTGGATTGAACCACACACCTTTGGGATTGCAGTGCAGTTTCTTGCCAGTTGGCCACCAGAGCTCCTGTCCAGCTTTCTTATGCATAGCAATTGTGAAGACCATGTCCTGGGTCAGGCACATCTTAGTCTCCAGACTGACATCGTTGCTCTTTAGTACTCTGGAGAGGTCACTGACAGCATATTCTCCTAATGCAATTTGTCTTTTGATTTCCTGGCTGCTGGTACCAAGAGTGTTGATTGTGGAGCCAAGCTAACTGAAGCTGTCAGCATCAAAATTGGTTTGTGGAATCTTTCTACATAGAAATATAACAGTATTAGCTATATTATTAGTAAGTGAAGTCAAGGTTTTTTCAAAAAAGTTATTTCTAAAACCCAAAAACGGATTGCCATTGAGTCAGAAGCTACTCAGGGCTGATCCTTATTTGAGTTTCTGAGGCTAAAACTCACATGGGAGAGGACTGCTCCTTTTTCTCCCACAGGGTCACTGGTGGATCCAAACCACCAAAGAAACATGGCCTTTGGGTTACCAGCACAGCTTCCTACAGACTAGGCTACCAGGGCTCCCAAAGGGATGTGGCCTCACCATAAGGCCCAGGCTGAAGTGCAGTAGCAGCTCACAGGTACATTTTCAGTAATGATCAGCACCAAAGTTTTGACTGGTCAGTTTCCTGGGCTGGTTCACACCTCCTTAAGTTACTTAGTGGTGTCCCTGCTCCTGGGAGGTCACCATACCAATACTGGACTGACTGGACACACGCTGGGCAGAGTGCACCACAGCCCAGAACTGGAGCTGTACTATAGCCCGGCCTCTGAGCAGCTGAGATGACAGACACATGCCATTGTACAGTCAAGTTCATGTTAACACTAAAAACCTCATTGTCCCCAAAGGACTCATACCTGACTCTCCAGTGGCTTTCAGAGTCTGCTAATCACTCAGAAGATGGCACATCTTCCTCCTGTAAAGCAGTTGCATCACTTTTGGGTTACCAGCACAACTCCCTAGTCTACACCACCAGGGCTCCCTATGTTAAGGATTGTTATATGCCATCGGGTCACCGGTGACTCTTAGTGACACTGCACAATAGCTCTGAACTCTTTCCTATCCTGAACCAATCTCATTGTCTCCAACACATTTATCTCTCTTACCCCAGTCACTGTGTCAATCCATCTCATCCAGGATCTTCCTGTCCTGCTCTGTCCCTGTATCTTTCTAAGCATGATGTCCTTTTCCAAGGACAAGTCCCTTCTGGCAACATGCCCAAAGTATGTCAGTTGTTGCTGTTGTTGTTGTTGTTGTGTGCTGTCGAGTCATTTGTAACTCATAGCGACCCTGTGTACAACAGCCCTAAACCCTGCTCTATCCTGTGCCAATCACATTGCCTCTGACACATCCATCCCAATTACCCCAGTCACTGAATCAATCCACCTCATAGAGGGTCTTCCCCTCCTGCGCTGTCCCTCCACCCTCCCAAGCATGGTATCCTTCT